AAATTCCTGAGACTATAGGAACAAAAAGCAGGGAATGCCCAAAAATTTGAAAGAAGTTGTGATTATGTTTCTAATGAAGCTAACAAAAATTTTGCAATTTATTTCATTTGCAGAAAGATCAAGTTTACTGTTCCTGTTCCATCTTACAACAGCAGATGATAGAAAATTATGATGGGAGTGATTCCAGTTCTCCTGAGTTAGTGGGCTTTTGAAATTAATGTCAGTCCTGTGGTATCAGTACTGCTGCTAGAAAATGTGTTGAAAATCTCACATGCCTATGAGATATTGTTTTAGAATACTGGTAATTAAAAACCAAAAACTTGAAAACATTAATCCAACCCCTGACATTGTGGGTGCTGCTGGTTTGTCTGAACCTCCTTCAGAAATGTTCATCTAGCTGGTAGCATGATAAATGTCAGTGCGTGAAACATTCAGAAGATTTGATTTATTTTAATTACACATTAATTAGTGGGAGTCCTTTAATACGCTCAATGACACAAGTACAGCAGAAGAGCAGCAACTATCGTGTGGTAAAGGAAAGTGCTGAAAGAAAGGTGCTTTTGTGAAAAACTGTGGAGCCAGGGGAAAAACGATGTTTGCAGGAGAACCACTTCTAAATAGGAAGTACATTTAGCTCCTGTTCATTTGATCAACAGTTTTTTTAGGTGAATTGAACATTCACTGCAGGATGTGCTGGGATGACAATGTGTAGAAGACAGGTCCTGAAGGTGGTAGAGTCATACAGAAGAATCCTAAACTCTTCAGCTTTCTTCCCACTCCATACTTGTGCCCTTTTTTCTGTCCACACCAATAATGCAGAAGAGACCTTCTTCCATGAGTAGTCATGTATATATGAATAGTTTGCTCTAAATCATTATTTTAATGTGTAAAATATTAAAGAGATTTATAGAAATACATTTTTAAAGAGTCTTGCTGAAGAGGACAGTCCTTTATGCAAGAGAGCACAACACCTCTGCATAGGCATGTAGTGAGGAATATTAGCTGTGTGCATTTAAAAGGACACACCAGGAACAAAATCTCTGCAGAAATATGTTTCCCTTTTATTAGGAAAACCTTCTATAGGCTTAATTATCACAGACCAAAAAAAAAAAAAGCACACTGTTTCCCAGGGAAATGCTACCCACTGATATCACAAGAATTCAGCCCTGCTTAAGTGCTAGGAGGTATGTTCTCAGTGCACTTATAATCGGGTCGTTATCACCATGGTTATGAGATTTAACTGACTGAAAACTGTAGGCATTTGTCTCATTAATGCCAAATGTTAGAGTTTATTTCTGGGAACTGAAAACCCTGCTGCCCAGGGAAACCTGTTCTGTGATAATCTCTGAAAATAAGGCACTTGAGAATAGCCCGCCTGGTTCATGTCAGATGGTTTCACACATATTTTGTTACTGGTTCTTAGGGGGTTTTGGTTATTAAATAACTTTGTTCTGTGGTATTTGGCTTTGTGAGTTAGGGTTCTTTGTGGAGTGCATGTCTAGATTTTACAAACCAAGCTTGTGATTATGATGCTCTTTGCTCATATGCAATCACTGCTGGGCTATGCCAGCACCTTAGCCTTTACATTTTTCCTTTCCCTCTCCTCTTTTTGATTCATCTTTTATTGTGCAGTTTCAGACAAAACCTTTTTCAGCTGTGATCTTGGGGCTGGTTATAGTCATGTTTCTCTGCTTGGAAGATAATTAAAGAAGTGCCAGTGCCCTCCCAATTTGGTTTCTATTGTTACTGAAACAGAAACTGTAAAATCATCATCAATCATCAGTGATGTCAGTAATACTTGGATCAAACCAGAAAACTTTTGGACCTTTTTTCTTTACTTTCTGTAGCCTGCTTTGTTATCAAAATGAGGTGCTCCAAAATAAAATCCTAGCATCTGATCAGAAGATTTGTCAGAAATTTGAGGCTTTCATTTATGAACTATTCAAATTTTTCTTGTATTTTACAGTCTTTGTTGAGTAAGATTTGTACAGGGTATAAAAAAGTAAATGCAACTACATTGCTTTGACCTCTGACTTGAAGTGCCATCCATGGAAAGTTGGAGATTAGAAGACTTTTATCTTCTTTAATTTGTCTTGTTCTATACTGGGACTAGATGTTTCCTTCTCGCAATGTATTTTCTGTGCAGAAGCTAAGACTACTAGAACAACGGAGTTGACAGAGGAAGGTGAGGGTACTTGGAAAAGTGAAAGAATGAATATTACAAATATACAGATTGGAGTGAAAACAATGTTTCAAAAAGGTCTTTGGTTATTCTCTATTTATAGAACATTATTTACTATTGTTAGTATTAGAACAATATTTTATTGCTTACCTATAAGAATCACAAGTGTCATCTCAAAAATCTAACCACACTCAGTTTTTTTTTCAGGATTTATATATCCAGTCTCTAAAAGTCAAGCCATTTAATGGTGATTTTTCCACATTCTGCCCTTTGGCACTTCTAAATACAGCAAGTGCTAACACTCCCATGAACAGTGGTAGTTTCTACCTATGTCTTGCGTAATCTAATCAGAGAATGAAGATCCATGAACAAAAAGGGACACAATAATTATAAAGTTACTTACTAACCTTCCTTATTTTGAGATTTCAGGAGGCATAAGAGTAACAATAATGGATAAGAATTGTAAAATTGGCTTCCTAGTTTATGTTTCATGTAACTTTATGAAGCTGCACTGCCTTATAAACAAATGGTTGAAAAGAATAATAATAATAATCTACAGAACAACACTAAAATAAATGGATCTTTAAATAAAGAATTGCATACATAAATTCTGAGCAAAATCTTTCAGAACTAGGATTAAACTCATAACACCATTCACCTCCCTTTTATTGTCCTCTGACTGTTTATCTTATTTAACATAGGTGACTGTTATTGTATAAACAGATTAGGATTCTGTATGTAGTCTGGAGGTACTACACAAAAATGAGATTTTTGAATGGAATTTTAGACCATTTGTTGGGAGAGGAAGAAGACTGAAACATCACAGGTAAATTAAATTTGTCATTCCAGCCATGTCCAAGCCAAATGGGATGCCTATGCATGAGTCTTTGTGTTGTTTCAGGATGATTAAGCAAAAAACATGGTAAATCTGGCCCTGGCATAGATATAAAAGACTGCCAAACATGTGCAGGGAGGAGACATCCTGACTGGGTCTCATTTCCTTGCCCAGCTGGCACTCTGCTAACGGGTTTGGCTTAAGCCAGTGCTGTGTCCTCTCCATGGGCTGCTGGCGTTGCAAAGGGTCTACTTCTCCAATCTCAGGAACACTAGTTCAAAGGGACAGAAAGGTGCCAAGAGCTTGGTATAGCCTAAGGTTTTGTGTTTACTTTTTAAAAGTGCAAGAAATCTTGGAAATTGTGAAATCTTGGTGGTTTCAAGAATAGCATGATCCAGCTGCAGCCACCCACACGCGCTGACTGCAGAAGAGGCTGTAAGAGAACCAAGCAATCTTAAAACATGAACATTCATGGATTATTTTAGCAAACCTTCATATTCTTTACAAAACAGATTGTTAGAATAGCAAGGTTCCTTCTGTTCTTAAGAATTAATGTTAGTTGTCTGTTTGCGTGTCAGACGGCTTGCTTGGTGGAGGTGTGTATTTTGGAAATGAGCTCCCTGACTCTATAATTTAGCCTTATTTTTCAGGAGATCTAGAGCTAAATACAATACCTGATGTAACAGAAAACAGAAGTGGTTGTGTGCAAAACTGAGGCAGATCACCAAGTAAATCTGGGAAATCTGTCCGTAGCATCTGAGCTGGTAAAAGGAAGAGTTAAGAAATTCCAGCATAGTGGCTGGGAGCAGTTTGGGAGGGAGTATGACATGGAATTTGGTTGTATTTTGGCAGTGAAGGAGGCTGGGGTGATTCCCCCATGGCTGGCATGTCCTGATGCAGCTCTGTATTACTTTTATTCCACTTCTGCTTTCCCCTTTGTGCCTGGTCTTAGAGTAAAAGAGGAGGTACAAACCATGAATTTTCTACAGAACCCAATCCAGTTTAATAAGAGTGAGATCATGGTATAGTCATCTATCCTAAGGGTTTGGGCTTTTTCCTCGGCTTACAGGCAAAACAGAATAAAAGAGCTACTGCCTGATCTGCTATGGAGCAGCCAGGGTGCCTCTGGGCACCACAGCATTGCTTCCAAACCTGCAGTGCCTCATTGCTGAGAAACCACATTAGACCTTTTCTTTTTTTTTGTTAAGATAACATTTAAAAAATAAATTATCCTTTGTAGTTTTTTTCTTGACACAAGAATTATCTATAATATTCCATCCAGCATATAAATAGTTGTTTTTTTCTTTACAATGTATTTACTCATTCAAATAACTGCTCATTGCCAAGCACAATCCTCAGCTGTTAAGTCAGAGCTCTACTTGCAGTGATTCTGTTTTGACAAATTTATCTGTACTTTGAATCTATGTTCATGGATTCAGTGATTACTATAGGCAGGAGTCTAGAGTTTTATGTCTAAATTTATCTTAGGCCTTCCCCTGATGAAAAATACCTACTGTTACCACTGTTATAAATATAGTTCCTAAAAAGTTCTTACTTCTGAATCCTCCTGTGCTACAGAGAATCAGTATTGTTGTTTTTTTTTTTCCCTCCCTGCTTTCAATAAGGAACCACCATGTGCACAAGTTTCATTGGTGGAAATCACAGTCTTCATTTTTATGAACCATGTTTATTAAACTCGTTCTAATTCCCATAACTATGAAGAAATAAAACATCTTTAGACTGTTGGTCAGTTAAAGTATTTGTAAGGATTCTCTGTAATAGAAGTAGCACTTCCTGAAGTTTGTGGCACTGGTAAAACATTTGCAGTCATACTCTTCATAATTAAATTGAGCTATTTCACCTTAATTAAGTCTGAAGTGTATCACCAGCTGAATCAAAGGGAAACTTTATGAAACAACTGTCTGAACTCCTCAGTCTGTTCTGAATAACACAGCAAATGCTTTTCCATTCCCTTCCCATCAGGTAACAGAGACGCGGACTGGTCCTCTTGGCTGCAGTAACTATGACAACCTAGATTCTGTCAGCTCTGTTCTGGTTCAGAGTCCTGAAAATAAGATTCAGTTGCAAGGTATGTAGGTGCAATTTCATTAATTTGTTTTGGAACAGGATGACATTTATCACACTATTTGTTTTTCTTTCTTCCACCTCATAAAAGGTCATTTTCCTAATTTTTTTTCATGTGTGCAATAACTACATTCTAGACAAAGTGAAGGAAATGCCAGTAACTCATGTCACCTTTGAAAAGGAAGCAATTTCTGCACACATCAGAAAATAATTTGAATAATGTTGTTAACATTTTACAGCCCTATTTAGCAACTACTTGCACATCTTTTAAACAGCCTGAATTCCCACAGATGGCACCAAGTAGGCAGTGACATTTAGTGTGCTCAGCCTGCTTTGCACATACTGAGTGGTGGGTTACACCTCATGTCGTTGTCCCACTGAAATGAACGGAGGCACTGGAGGAGCAGGACATAGGTTTTCAAGGACTCTAAATAATGAAGAGTGGAAAGGCTCCTCTTGGGACATTTAGGAAAACTTGGAAGGTTGGGCATCTCACTCAGAAAAATAATTGTAGCTACATTTAAAAAAAAAAGAAAGGGAAGGACAGAGTGACAGAGAGAAAGAAAAAGAGCAACAACAGAAAGGAAAAAGAAAGGGAAAAGGAAAAAAAGGGGTATCATTTCTAATTAATTTTTTGCTAATTTCAGTAGATGCATTTCCCAACCTGCATATTAGGTACACACACATTTTTTTAAGTCACTCCCTAGGGCATTAGGCCATTAAAAATTGCTTTTTTCAGTTACACAAATTTAGCATGAGCAGCATGCTATGAAAACGGACTAAATGATCTTTAATTTATGTACTTGTGTATACCTCTGTAAGTTCAGCTCTTAATTTGCAGTTACAGGTAGCTATATAATTATTTCCAGTTTTAAATATTTTCCACATTGTTTCGTAAATCAATTGGACATATAGTGTGAAGTTGTTGCTGACTATTAGAATGGCTGTCAGGAAAAGATCATCTTCCTCTTTGAAACATCCATGTCATTTTTTTTTCCCTCTTTCCTTTCTCTCTCCTCAGAATAAGTTAAAAGGCATAAAGTCACACCATCACTTCAGAGACAGTATATATTTTTTTTTAAATTAGAACTTGTCATTTCCACTGGGACACAATGTACGTTGTACAATGTAAGGTACCTTGCAGTGGCTTTTTGATTTGTTGATTACTATTGTAGCTATACCAACTGATAGTTAAAATTCTCCTATATGAAATGCTCATTTCCATCATTGAGATCATGTAAACAATAGTCAGAATTTTCAGTTGAGTACGTCTAGATATCTGGTCATAAATATTTTGAATTTTTGATTCACTGGCTTGAATTCTGATACATCGATGTGACATAGTTTTGCAAGGTCTGTGCATGTCATGGTAGGGTAAAGTGTGAAAACACTTTTTGCAAAGGGATTTGTGACATAGCAGTTTTTTGGAACACCATAGCAAGATTTTGCATCTTTTCTCCGTGTTAAACCTTTAGTAGATTTAAGAATGAATTTTCTTCCTCAAGGTTTTATAGCCCTAGCCATTACAATTGTCCCTTAGCAATTAAACACCAAAATTATCTGAAATGAAATATCAGCTAAATTTTATTTTTCTAAAATTTCCTCCAACTCAATTTTTCCCATTCTTCTTAGTTTGTCTCTACAGACAGAATCATGAAGAGATAACTAGGGTTACTTAGGGAAGCTGTATCTTGTTGTGTCAAAGGCAACATGGATAAAATGGACCTGTTGGAGTGGGTCCAGAGGTGAGCCACAAAGATAATCAGAGGGCTGGAACACCTCTCCTATGAGGACAGGCTAAGAGAGTTGGGATTGGTCAGCCTGGAGAAGGCTCCAGAGGGACCTTTTTGTGGCCTTCTAGTATCTGAAGGGGACCTGCAAGAATGCTGGGGAGGGACTTTTTACAGGGGCCTGTAGTGATAGGATGGGGGGTAATGGCTTCAAAGTGGAAGAAGGTAGATTTACATTAGGAATTGGGAAGCAATTCTTCACTGTGAGGGTGATGAGACACTAGAACAGGTTGCCCAGGAAGTTGTGGAGGCTCCATCACTGGAGATGTTCAAGACCAGGCTGGGGCCTTGCGCAACCTGCTCTAGTGGGAGGTGTCCCTGCCCATGGCAGGGGGGTTGGAACTAGGTGATCTTGAAGGTCCCTTCCAACTCAAACCATTCTACTATTCTAGAAATCCAGTACAGGGTGGAATCCTTTACCTTCACACCTCTTTTTCTGATTGTGCAGTCTCTTTACTTTGTCTTTCAAGGCTGTTTTCCCTTCATCAGCACTCTCAAAATTTGCATTAGCTGCTAGTACCAAGATTATAATTCCGCTGCATGCTCCCTTACTGCAAAGCTCTTAGTGCTGAGGCTGTTCAATTCAGCAGTTCTTTACAAGGAGAAGCTGATGTAATCCTTTCTGTTTTTGACAATCCCCCTGGAAAGAAATTACACCAGTAGATGCTCTTTCTGAGGAACACAGGTTTAGTAGTCAGTGGAATGGATGTTCCATACTGAGAGGGAAATGTGAGGAATAGATCTGAAATTTGTTCTTAGGAAAGGAAATATATATGACAGTGCAAATGCTAGACAGTTATGTAAATTGTCTGTAAAAAGCTATTTAGTTTCCTTTTTCATATTTTTTTTTCCCTTTGTTGCACAGGTTGGGGAACCAGTTTGGCATGAGTATTCCCTTTTATTTAATACTGTAATACTCTCTTTCCTTCAGGTCTTCAGGTCATCCTGCCTGAGTATCTGCAGGAACACTTTGTCCAGGCAGCTTTGAGCTATATTGCCTGCAATTCAGAGGGGGAGTTCATCTGCAAGGACAATGACTGCTGGTGTCAGTGTGGTCCCAAATTCCCAGAGTGCAACTGTCCCTACATGGACATTCAAGCCATGGAAGAAAATCTGCTCCGCATAAGTGAGACTTGGAATGCATACAACAGTGAATTTGAAGAATCTGGTGAGATATTTTATAGAAGTTTTGTCTGATTGGCTGTATTTCACAAAATGTATTTATACAGCAGAATCCACCTGAAATCACCGGAATGGTATGTACAGCTAAAGCTAGACATACTTAAAAACATCCTGGATCTGAGTCTTAATAATTACAACTTTCTGATAGGAAGTATTGTCCTTACGTCATGATGATCAGCAGTCTGTATAATTACATTAGGACTTTTATCAGAGGAGTTCAATTATTCATCTGCTTTACTTTGTAGAGTCCATAGCTGCGAGTTCTTAGTCTCTGTTGTTGGAAGAAGTGTACTGGAGGAGGCAGAAAGCAGAACAAATGAGGAACAAAGTCAGGTTTTACACTTTATATGGGTATTCTGCATTTTGGTCCTGTAGTGCAGCTGAAACAGCTGCTTTGTTTTACATCCATTTTTCAGTGTTGGGTCAAAGTTTCTCTTGCCCTTCCTCTGTATCCTGTCCCTTCAGCAATACCACGAAGCTCACGTGGAGAGCATAGCTGGCCCTTGATTTACCAAGGATAGTTAATACTTCATCCCATTGTACTAGGCAGCTCGCTACTTCGTATGATTCCTGGTTAAACTGGACCTATCCATGTTGTCTCTTCAACACATTTGTTACACATTAGTTTTCTTTATATCATTGAGGTTTGTTTCATACATCGTTTCACTTGTCCTGATCATCAGAAGTTCCAGTCCCACAGAGAATGGGAACCACAGGTAAAATTATCTTCTGAACAACTGTTTTCACAACTCACTCAGTGATATCAGTAACAGCTGTCTTGCCAGATGGTGGGAAAAGTAAGGAGAGCTCAACAGGCCTGGGACAAATCACTGAAGAAAAAAAAAAAAGGAGGGAGATAAGGAAGAAGCTGAAAAAAAAAATCACAGTTTTTAATAAGTTGTGTCAGAGAAAGAGAGTGAGTCAGTAGAAGAGAGAGGGAAGAAGACTATTCAGTGGTCATGGGAAGAGTGTGGGAGAGAAGAAATATCAGTATTATCAGTTGTTGTAACTTTCAGTGTGATCTGATGCCTAAATCTGAGTCTGTTTGGAAGGTCTGATGATATTTTCCCAGCTCCAGTCTCACTTTTAGCATGAGGGCTCCAGAACTTAAAATATTTCTCCTTGGAAAATCACAGATTTCTCTGGTTATAAAAGCATATTTACATTTTGCATATCATAGATTTACAATATTTACATTTTGTTGCTGTGTACATAAAAATGCATTTTCCCAATGACTATTTAGACAACTTTAAGCATTTATGCAGTCTTGATGTCATTTACTACTTTGCAAACTAGGACAAGTGTATTGACTCCACAGAAGGGCACAGTTTTCTTTCCCATATTTTGTCCTATTTGAACAGGATATGATGCTGTTCAGTGCTTGAAGAATGTCATTTGATGTCAGCTGCTTAGCAGCAATTTTAGTTAAGCTGAAAGAGCACACACATCTAAATCTATGGGGGATTCTTATAGCAGCCTATACAGGGGCATCAAATTACTTATGAGTTTGAACAGTTGTCAGCTACACATATAGTCCTATGTGCAGGACTGAGACACAAATCTCAGGGGGAAAATGGGTAATACTTGAATTCTGTGCCTTTAAAAAGGCTCTTTAGCTATGCTGTGTGAATCACTAAAATGGCAACTTCACATACATCTGTCAATTAGGTAATTGCTACTAGATGTGGTTACTAAAAGCGTGAAATATAGATTATTGCCATCATTAAGACATGTGCCACACCTACTTTTCAGCCCTTGAGTTAATTAATTCCGTTTAAATCTAATAAATACACAAAGCATGATTTCCACATCTCATAGGTAGCTTAGAAAAATCTCTGCTTTAACTTGTAAACTATTTTGCATAAAAACGTTTGTGGAAAGATGAGATAGGTAACCTTGTATGTGTATGAGTCTGTACTTTGTTAAAAAAAAGGTTGTCATGTGAATTTTAGATAGATAGTTTAGTCACTGCCTGTTCAACCTTCCAATGTAAATCCTATCTTACCATCTGAACAGCTCTTCCAGTACTGTCACACGTGGTCTGTTCGCTTTTCTAGCCACAGTGTTTATTGACATACATCCTGAAAGATTTAGAGCTTGTGCAACATTTAAGCTATGAAAAAGACTATTAATAAATAGCAGCATGATCTGGTTCCTGTTAAGAATGTTCTCAGAACAAAAGTGCCCTTTATTAAATAAAACTAATGTTTTAAATAGATATTATAACTTTTATGTGGGATATATGTCCTTCAGTGCCTAAATTGGTGGAAGTCATCTTCTAGATAAGAGTACGTTGTTTTAATCTAATCAATTTATAATAAAAATAAATTAGCTAAAAAAGAGTAGGGTAAAAGAAGGCCATATTATTTAGCAATTAAAATCTGAGTAAACAAGAGACAGGATAATCCAGAGCACCAACTACTGGCCCGCATAGTCGTCTACTAACTGCAGAGGAACGAATGAATTAATTCTACCCCTAACACTATGAACTTCAGATTCAAGTAATGTTAAATACGAGTGTATTAATTTTCTAACTTTTCTGCCTTCCAAAGCCTTTCTTACTCTACACATATTTCCAGTAGTCCCCTGAACAGGGTGATAAATTTTATCCCTTAACACAGACCTGTAAAAAGTACTGGGTTCATTTGAGATCATACACATTATCTGTGGACAGAATTCAACCTAAAGTGGAGGAAGTAAATATTCTATTTCAGATGGTTTGTTTACTGTCAGTGTTATCTGTCCTTCTGTCCGTTCAAGATAAAACAACTGAGGAACAGATTTTTTTTAAAGAAAAAATGGCAGTTCTACGGTGCCTATGTCCCATTGGAATCAATGTGTAGCTGAATTTAGTTTGTGTCTTTGAAGGACTCCATCTAAATTTCCAGAAAAAAGAGAAAGGAAAAAAGCAGCAGGGCTATTTTCTCTACAGCCTACTACTCTCTTCCAAATGAGAGACTTTAAGTTTTTGTTTATCTTTCAAAGCAAGAGATATGAAATAAAAGCATGTACCTAGTTAAAAGTCAAAGGTCCTGAACACTACAATTACACCTGCAAAGAGGTGATGATTTAGTTTGACCACTCTGTGCATACATGTCCAACTGCAAGGAGTGAGTATGTTAGATGAGTGTAATGCTGGGTGAAATGAAAGCAGGGACTACAGCAGGAACCTCGTGAAGTTCAACAAAGGGAATTCCAGTGTCCTGCACCTGGGGAGTCTCTCTGGACACCTCGAAGGCAGCTTGGCAGAAAGGGACCTGGGGGTCCTGATAGCCACCAGGTTTACTGTGAGCCAGCAATATCTTCTTGCAGCAAAGGCTGATGGTATCCTGGGATACATTAGGAGGAGTATTGCCAGTAGATCAAGTGAGAGGATCTGTTCCCTCTCCTCAGCACTGGTGAGGCCACACTGGAGTGCTGTGTCCAGGTCTGGGCTCCCCAGCATAGGAGAGACATGGACACATTGAGGAGAGTCCATGAAGATGAAAATGGGACTGGAGCATTATTATTTCTTCTTATGAAGAAAGGCCAAGAGAGCTGGGACTGTTCAGCCTGGAGAAGGCTTAGGGGGATCTCACTAGTGTAGATAAATACCTGAAGGGAGGATGCGAAGAAGGTGGAGCCAGGCTCCTTTCAGTGGTGCCCAGTGACAGGACCAGAGGCAATGGGCACAAACTGAAGCACAGAAGGTTTCCTCTGAATATCAGGAAACACTTTTAACTCTCAGTGTGACTGAGCACTGGGACATGTTATCCAGAGATGTTGTAGAGTCTTCCTCCCTGGAGATATTCAAAGCTGATGGTCATGGTTCTGGGCAACTGAGCCTAGGTGGGCCTGTTTTTAGAGGTTTGGACCAGAGGTCCTTTCCCACCTCAGCCATTCTGTTATTCTGTAATCAAGTAATTTTTCTGGTTTTCATATGGGTTTGCTGGTAGTGACAATTCTTTTCTGAGCAACTATAATTTTTTTAGATTAGATAACTAAACATACTCCAGTTCAGAATGTGTCATTCATTGTTATGTGCTGATTTCAATTCATTCAGGCTCTTCTGGCACCTATATGAATCTCATTTTGGAGGACAGAGAACAGTCATTTTGGAGGACAGAGAACAGTATATTGTTTATCTCTTAGTAAATCTGGCTGCTTTTTTCATCTCCCTAGCAGCCCTCCAGCAATCCATACTTAATCACTATTAGCTCAATGAGCTTCATATAACCTCTTAATACCAGGGTATGTACTAAGTTCTCAAAGAAATTACAAGAGACACTTTAAATTATTTACTCTGAACCATCTGTTTACTCTTTATCATAGCTTTTGGCCTCCAGACTCCTCTACTACCCTTGCAAATTAGCATCTGTTTCCTTATCAAAAATCCATACTAAAGCTGTTCAACCTTTATTAACTAATTTCATTGGTTTCTTGAGGCCTTTGGCTGAACTAACGTGTAAGCAAAGTTCTCTCTGAGAACATCTTTCCAAGAAGCTGTGTTCTTACCATCTAGCATGTTGCCTGAAAATATCACCTCTAATGGAATCAAGCAGTTTCATTCACCCTGTCTTAGTTTTTTTTCTTTATGCATGAAACTAGACTTTTACAGGATTTTGTAGCCAAAAAGGACAACTAGATAATCTAGTTGACCTTGTGTTATCACAAGCCACTTGTTATTCCAGAATATGAAGTCTACCTGCATTAGGTAGATTAAAGCACTGCAATCTTCACTAGTGTACCTTTAGCCCACTCCACCTTTTCAATGGGTTTTTCTTTTAATATTGTAAATTTTCCTGCAACTCATCTGCCCCTAATACTAGAAACATGTACTTGTCCATCTTCTCACCCTCTCAGTAAATTTTATCTTTCCATTTCAGGAAAAAGCTTTGACCTAAGTGCGCATGCACTAATTAGTTTCACACTGTAAAGAGTGTCAAAATATTCCTTGAAAAAATTCTCAATTTTTTGAAGTATGTATGAGTTTCACAGCTTATGGTT